TTATTTCTCATAAACATGTCTTAAATGTACAGTCTCTTCTCCCTTGTTAATCATACATATTCTCTTTTAACTTTCATATTAGTTCATTCTTCATCCTAAAAAATTTGAGTATACTCGGGGTTGCTATTCTACCATTCCATCTCCCTTATTTTACAACAATCCTTCTTCTCCTTCTCCTCTCTTTCCCTTCCCTCCCTTCTTCTTCTTTTTTTATTATTTTTTTTTCTTTGATTTATCCATGGTTGGCCTACTGAGAGTTGAAAAGCTCAATAAATTGTGTGCTGGTGGGTGTTGCACGTTGGCGGTTGTGACACATATTTTGAGTGACAGGGAGCCAGATGCGGCTCCAGAGCCGCAGGTTGCTGACCCCTGTTTTAGGGGCTCCCTATCCAGCCCCTAACAGCCTCTAGGCACTGCGAGAGGGAGGACATGGCATCACTTAACTCACCACGGGCCAAGGTGGTGATCCTGTTTCTTGGAGCAGGACTTCATTTTAACTGACTGTTCCTTCTGCCCTCTGGAAGGATGCTTGCAAGAAGAAGGCATGGAGGAGACCAACAATTCAAACAAACAATCATGGCCTAGCTATGTGGGTTTCCAAGATGGGATCGGGGTCAAGGGAGAGGGACCGGACCTTCCCTTGTGCTCCTCTCCTGTCTTCTTTCTGCCCTACAGAACTGATTCTGACATGCTCACTTTTCAGCATGCAGACTTCAAGAAGTTGCCTCCAAGGACAGAGGAGGCTGAAAGCTCCAAAGCTGAAGCTCCTCTTGTGCTGAAGCAGCCCAAGAAATCCAAGAAAAGGAAGTCAACTCAAGAGACCACCCCAGTCCCACCCGCCACCCCAGGGAGTTCTCTGCCTCCAGAATCTGCAACTACAGAGAGTGAGTGAACAGAAGGGTATCGGAGCATGAATTTGAGGGATGTTCCGTATTTCATTGTATTACTTTCGGATGCAAGTACTGCATTCCAAGGGTCTGAAAATGAGGAGATCGCATCAGTTTAGATTATGGATGCATGTCTCTTAATTGAGCCTTATTAGCTGTTGACGAATTGTTGCTCTGCCAGGAGTCCTACAGCAGAAAGACCAGGACAGAAAAAAAATCAATAAATATTACATAGCTACTGATTAAAATAGTTATTATGAATGTAATTCCTTTTCCATTTGTAAATAAGGAACTCTTTCTCCAAAATTAACTCTGTTTGTATTAGGTACAGATACATCTTTTTCTCTCTCTCAGTTTAGAAACAGACAGACATAGATGATAGATAGATAGATAGATAGATAGATAGATAGATAGATAGATAGATGATAGCTAGATAGATAGATAGATAGAAAGCTGGATAGCTATAGATAGATAGGATGGATGGATGGATGGATGGATGGATGGATGGAAGGATGGATGGAAGGAAGGATGGATGGATATATGATAGATAGATAGATAGATAGATAGATAGATAGATAGATAGATAGAAAGCTGGATAGCTGTAGATAGATAGATGGATGGATGGATGGATGGATGGAAGGATGGATGGATATATGATAGCTAAATAGCTAGCTAGCTAGCTAGATAGATAGATAGAAAGCTGGGATAGCTGTAGATAGATAGATGGATGGATGGATGGATGGATGGATGGATATATGATAACTAAATAGCTAGATAGCTAGATAGAAAGCTGGATAGCTGTAGATAGATAGATAGATGATAGATAGATAGATAGATAGATAGATAGATAGATAAGATTAGATTAGATTAGATTAGATAGATATAGACACAAGGACAGTAAGTAGCAAATGCTACTTACACCTTGCATTCAGCCCCATGACCAGCATACCACAATATATGTGATATTCTTCAAGAAATGTATAAGCAGACATGAAAAAGAAAGAACAGTGTTACTGCTTCTTTGGATAACCAAGAACATTTTTCTCGAACATTTTCCATCATGGGAGAATGGAAATTCCAGTTCTAAGGTGTTTGTTCCTTATGCAGGGTGTGACGCCTCAAAAACTAAGGAAACGGGGTGCCATATAGAATGAATGGATGTTTGGAGGTATGAATGAATGGATGAATTAATCAATCAATCAATTTTTCATTAGAAATCGTACACAGAATTTTTGAAGGTGTTTATGGTTTTACCAGTCGGACAGGTTTGCAAGGTGTGTACCTAAATAGGTCAGATAAAGATTCAGGGAAAATACCTACCTCAGTTTCCACCTTAACGTCATCTCTCTCTCTCTCTCTCTCTCTCTCTCTCATCTATCAATCACCTCACAATCTCAGAATTTCTAGCCTGAAGCCTTCACCACTACACCAAATTGGGTTGCCTTTGTTGTGTTTAAGGAGTACCGTAGCTATATTCAGTATCATTATACCTCAGAAGTTATCTGCTCTACAACATTCACACTGTCTCATTGCTTCTAGAAAAGTCCCAGCGTTTGCGTCCTTTATACCAATACATTAACTACGACAACCCAGAGATGAATAGGCCATCGGATAAGGAATATGATCTGCCCCCAATGGAGGCTCCTTCTACACAAGAAAACAAGATGGGCGCCATAGAACTGAGAACAACTCCATCGATAGGTAACAACATGGAAACAAAGAGGGCTGGGAATTGAAAAAATAATTTGGTGCTCTTAGTGATTGGCTAAACCTATTCTTGATGTGAAGTCTATGTCCTTCCTTTTTCAAAAAGTCTGAAGTTATGATGTGTTTTGAAATATCTGTGCTACGGAACTCAAAAAGCCATTTTGTTTGCTATCATGAAAGGGACGCCGTCGCTCAGGAGCTAAGATGCTGAGCTTGTCGATCGAAAGATCGGCAGTTCAGCAGTTCGAATCCCTAGTGCCACGTAAAGGGGGTGAGCTCCCGTTACTTGTCCCAGCTTCTGCCAACTTAGCAGTTCGAAAGCAGGTAAAAAATGCAAGTAGAAAAATAGGGACCACCTTTGGTGGGAAGGTAACAGCGTTCTGTGCGCCTTTGGCGTTGAGTCATGCCGGCCACATGACCACGGAGACATCTTCGGACAGCGCTGGCTCTTCGGCTTTGAAACGGAGATGAGCACCGCCCCTAGAGTCGGGAACGACTAGCACATGTGCGAGGGAAACCTTTACCTTGCTATCATGGCTACCTAGCTCAGAAATTACTCCATACTGATCCTCTTGTTTTCTGTTGCAGTTGCAGAAGAGAAAGGCAAGGAATTGAGGAGTCTACTGAATGCCACTTCGGGAGCTGTGGTGAAAACAGAGGTGGATAAGTCTACTCAAGTGGACATCGATAAGATGCTCAGCGTCTGTGCAGCTCACCTAGTCCCACCATTGTCACCGCAGAACAAATAATCCTATCTGATAGGAGGCCAAGCTCTTCCCTCAAGAGATTAACAGTGCTTTTCCCCCCCCAGAAACTGGAAGATACTCCTTGAAGGCCATACGAGTGTAATTCTTTTAAGTTTTGTTCATTATAGTCAGGTGTCAAAAATATTTGTCTTGTTCCTTGCTGTAAAATAGAGGAAAAAATGGAAGCGAACAGGAGTCGAATTGCTCCTGTCTAAATACTGTAAGCCAGTGCCCAAAGGAGAGTTAGAAAAGACAGAGAAGTATAGTTCATTCATCTCAAGATCCTCCTTGACATTTCTGAGAAATTAACAATAAGATGTACATGGGTTTTTCCCACATTTTATTCCCATAACAATCTATGAGGTAGGTAGCTGGTCCAAGCAAGGACAGTAAATCATTTGCATCTGCTTCTTCCAGAAGACACAACCTTAATTTTTATGCATTTATAATAGCAGATGGTGCTATTATAGGGCTAGGGACATGGTGGCTAAGTGGCTAAGATGCTGAGCTTGTCGATCAAAAGGTCGGCAGTTCAGCGGTTCGAATCCCTAGTGCCTGGTAACGGGGTGAGCTCCCGTTACTTGTCCCAGCTTCTGCCAACCTAGCAGTTCAAAAGCACATAAAAAATACAAGTAGAAAAATAGGGACCACCTTTGATGGGAAGGTAACAGCGTTCTGTGCGCCTTTGGCATTTAGTCATGTTGGCCACATGACCACGGAGACGTCTTCGGACAGCGCTGGCTCTTTGGCTTTGAAACGGAGATGAGCACTGCCTCAGGAACGACTAGCACATATGTATGAGGGGAACCTTTATCCTAAATAGCAGCATGATGGGAGAAACATAAAACCCAAAAAACACCATAAGTGGGATGATAATTAAGCACCATTTTGTATCCGAGGTATTGGTGTCCTATCCCAAAATCTCAGCACAAATTTTGATCATGCCAGCCTTTGTGAAGCTTTAAACACAACAGTCCTTGCCAAAGCATATACAGGGTAGTCCTTGACTTTGGACCACAATTTGAGCCCAAAATTCCTGCTGCTAAGACAGTGAGACAGTTGTTAAGTGAATTTTGCCCCAATTTTACGAACTTTCTTGCCACACTTGCTAAGCGAATCTCTGCAATTGTTTATGTTAGTCCCAGGTTGGTTAAGTTGATCTGGCTTCCCCATTGATGTTGCTTGTCAGGGGATGCCGAAGGGGATCCCGTGTCCCTGGGACACTGCAACCGTCATAAATATGAGTCAGTTGCCACGGGTCTGAATTTGGATCATGCGACCATGGAGATGCTACTGTGGTTGTGTGAAAAACAGTCACTTTTTTCAGTGCCGTTATTAACTTTGAATGGTCACTAAATGAATCGTCGTAAGTCGAGGACTACCTGTACTGGGAAGAGAAATTAGGGGGGGAAATTCTCCATTCATGATCTTGCCTTTTCTTTACTATAGGAGCTGTACACATCCTGAACCTCCTTAGTTAACTGAAATGCTAATCATAAGATAGAGCCGTGGTACCTAAAAATAGCTTCAAAGTCACAAAAGAGAAGAAAATAATTAAGATTTTTTTTCCCTCGGGGGAGCAGAGCAGCTGATCCGGTACTTGATTGTATCTGTTCTTAGTTTCCATTATAGGCTATCATTTAAAAGAACACAACGGAGGCAGGCTTGTTAATGCTTTATCTTAATTTACAGGATTAAAACCCAGTAGGGAAACAACATAAGAAAAATAAAATAACATTCAAGTAAACGATGTTTCATTAAAAAGTTAGGGGTTGTTTTTCTTCGAGTTCTGGTAATAAAATCTCCTCCAGAGATCCTCCAGAGATAAAAATGGGGGAGAGAAAGGCAATGGAACCAGAGTTTGCTTCAATTCACTAACCTGCTGTTTATCTTGGATTGTCTCCAACAAATGCCAAGCCCTACCAGATTACAGTTAAAAGTAACTTGGATGTGTTTTCCAAGCTCAGCTTCCCTTCCTTCGGACAGTTTTAATGCTTCCTTCGTTTAAACAGCCGAAAATTCTCACCAACAAAGGCTGGCTACGGGACGTGGTTTTTGCACTGCCAAGCAATCGGCATCGGTGGGCATGGAAAAAAAGGCAGGCGAGGATATTGGATGGAAAGAAAAGGGCAATCTTGGGCAACCCTCATGCCAATCAAGGGTAAGAAGCACTGAGATGCACAAACAGGCAACCGCATCCCCATCGGGTGTTTTGTCAGATAAAATAAAGCAAGAGCGTTCAAGAAAAAGATGCACATTAGACAAGAGACGGTCCCTTCCAAGTTCACCCTGTTTGTGCAAAAAGCAGGGGTTTTTTTGATGTGCGTGTTTTTTTTCCAAGGGAAGGAACTTAATTTTAAATCCTCTCTGCCTTCACCCCTCTAAACCCAATCCTTATATATAGGAAGGAATGAACATGATGATTTTTACCGGCTTATCCCTGAATTGTAGCAAAGTCTTGCGTCTCTACAAAGAGATACCTGGATCTGTCCCTTCTAATCCTCTTAAAGGACCAGCTCTAAAGATTCGCCTCCTTGTATTCCTTCGGGGAAGCTGTTTCCCCACCTCAAAGAGCTGTAAAAAAAAAAAATAACCCCGATTCCTATTTTAAAATCAACCATCGGCATTCTCTAGCACAACATGCCAATGATGTTCAACTTAGCATTAATACGTGAGCTGGGCGCGGAAGAGAGCTCTGCACCCCAAAAGCTCTTGCTTTGGGGCGGGGGGAGGGCACAGGGAGCAGAGTTCTTGTCCGCTGAGTGCAACTGGCAATTCAAGTCTTCCTAACGATACACGAGTTATTAAATTTAAGTAACCAAAGACACGTACATCTGCCACGTTTAAAATTCTCCCAGATTAAAAACCAAAGGCTACCCCTTTTACACACATATACCCTTCCTCTTTTTCCCTGCTTCCATTCCATCCACCCACCCGCCCTTTCTGCTTCCAATTGTTCCGCTTTGCAGGAATATCTGCGTTATAAGTTATTTCTCTGCAGCGCCTCACAGAGGTTCTGGTTGGTATCAGGCTCCTCAATCATCTCCTCCACCGTTTCCCATTCCCCAGACCTGCTGGATTTTTTAATGGCATCTATGACACTTTGCATATAGAGACCGTCCTCAAAGGAAGCTGCCACTGCTACCGGTTTGGGATCCCAGGTCCGTTGGTCTTCCTGATCCTGGAAGGAAAGGCGGAGAGCTTGCACCAGGTAGACCATCCCTTTGAGGTACAGAAGAGGGATGTCTTCGAATTCTTTCTCGGAAAGCTCGGCGTGGATATTCAGGGAGTCCTTAAATAACAGCTCTTCCTGGGGAGCTGCGTTCTTCTGGCCATATAAGTCCATCCCGCGAGCAATAAGACGTCCCGCGGAGCCTACGATCATGACCTCGTGAACGAAAGACCCGGGCATGTTGAAGTTCAGCGTCACTGTGCTACAGATGCCTCCTGTCATCAGCATCTGGAAGAAGCAGAAGTCATCGCTGGTGACGTGGCGGATGCCGCTGATGGCCGAGTTCTGCTTGACGAACGTTTTCAGCAGCCCGTGGACCTTCTCGGCCTTTTGGTTCGTGAGATGGGTCAGCAAGTCTATGATGTAAGTGCCCATCGTGTGCAGGCCGCCCCCGCCCATTAACTCATCGCAAATCCAGTTGTACTTCTGGCTGAGGAGGCTTCCCCAATACACTCGCACGTCACAGACCAGGATGCTGCCGACATAGTGTTCGTCGAGTAACTGCTTCATTCTGACAAACGCGGGTAGAAAGCGCAGAGCGTTGCCCACAATGCTCATGAGTTTGGGGTAATACCTAGCAGCCGTGACCATCCTAAAAGCATCGAGAGAGGTAGCGGCTTTCTCACAGATTACATTCTTTCCAATTCCTGCAAAGAAAGGACAGCAGTTTAATCCGGAGATTTTTTAATCCACACCCAAACAATGAGAAAAGCAAAGCCTTCGAAAGCAGAGCGGTTGCAACTACCCAGTTTCCAACTACTTTGCTTTTATTTTACATTCTGCTATGGTCTTTTTTTTTTTTTCTTTTGCTGCCTGCAAGGATGATCAGGCCTCTATACTATTTCTCATGTTTCCCATTAGATTGGAGGATAAGACGCACCGTAACAGGTGCTCACATTTCATTTATATTTTTTTCTATATATTCCTCCTGACATCTTTTTAGTACTTCAGAGGCTCCTAAACTGGTTGTGTTGATTCAGCAGGAAGTAATGTTAGTTATTTTTAGCAATTCATCCATGAAAAATGAACTTGTCTGCTTGTTTTTGTAATACATGTTATAGCAGCGAGAAGGACTGATAACAAGAAATGCAGCGGTTAAGAATTCATTTTTTCGGGACATCTGAAGTTGTTTATTCTATCATTGAAGGGTTAAAAATGTTGTTGTAGTCTTTGTAGATTTCCAGTGCACAGCAAAGCTACAGAAACATGCTGGTTTATTCATAACTTTATCCCTTAGAACTTCTCAGAACATGTAAAGTTAATTCAGCCATATACAGAAAATGCCACTGCTTTTTAATTTCTGCAAAAAAAAAAAAAAAGCATTTTTGTTCCAAAGGCCTGGGACATTATGTCAGTTTTATTTAAGAGGAATATAAATGATTAAGTAATCTCTCTGCTTATAGTGCTGGATAGACCAACAGCCACAATAACGGTTGCAATTTGCAGGGATGAGGTGGCTGAAAAATACCCTGTGAAACAGCTACCGAGATGCATTATTTAGGCAACCCAGAGACAGTCTGAAAGACTTTGAAGACCTGGCTGTTCTCCCAGGCATTGGGCAGAAAATATTGCCAGGCGCAGCAAGGGTGGAATGCTGAATTAATCTTGAGTAGGAGTACAAGCCTCCATTCAGAGAATTGCAAGAGGAAGAAAGCGAACACCGAGTCAAGCCAAGAATTAAAAAACAGCTTATAATGCTCCTGAAATATATAACTTGGCCTGTATGCACACAGGCAAGCAAATCATCCTGTATGCTCTTTTAACAATCAACATATTTATTTTTTTTTTTTTGCTATGTTGCTTAGGAAAAGACCATGCAACAATATTGTTACAGAAACACAGAAAAGTTTCATCTTGCATAAATCAAAATAAATCCATGCAGAAATACAGGCAGCCCTTTTGTAGCATTTGTTGCAGTTATAACGGTGATGAAAAAGTAACTTTGCAACCAAGATTCACATTTACAACTTTTGGCAGGTCTGTAAAACTGAAGTTAAGATTGTAAGCACAGCCAACGGTTTTATTTAGCCACTCTTTGCTTAATGATCAAGTTGCCAATTTCAGTTGTGGTAGCTAAACAAAGACTACCTGTGATTTGGGTTTAAACAAAGCATTAATACTGGCTGGCTGTCAAAAATGAAAAGACGACCTCTGTTCCCAAGGGTTTTTTTTTTTTTTTTGGTTTAATATGTGGCATCTGCTATGCAAATCCAACCTAGGAAAAGCAAATATGTTTATCAGAAAATTGTACCTGCAAAAGGAAAACCCTGAAATAAAACATATTTTGGCAGAAGCAATTGCCCTAAGGCCTAATAATTTTCAAGCTCACCATATGCAGAGCTGAGCCTCTGCAGGAAATGTTCTATGCATTAATTTTTTTCTGTATGTACGTTCCCCATAATCTATTCATTTGCAAGGCATGTGGTGGTGTGATCATTTTTCCCCCCTGTGGGAGATTCATGTGGCCTGTTCTTTTTGGAGTAACAATAGTCCTCCAAGTTTATAGTTAGAAACAAAACATCAAGCCTTTACTTTACCAACTGAAAATTCACCAGGCATGAGGAGTTTTTAACAACAGGATTCCCAGTTCTCTGATATAATTCGTTCCAGGATGAAATGTTCAATTTTCTGCTATTAATTACTCAACAACTGTGACCGTCTTCCAAGTTGGCGTCTACCCAAGAGAAAACTGAAATCTTATACAATGCCCAAAACTGGCTATTGGGAAAAACACCGTACCTAGAGCCTTCACTGCAATTTGTCGCGTTAGCGGTGGGGGAATGTTGATGCAAACCAGATCTACATCCTGGTGCAGCAAAACATCATCTGTTCGACTTGTGTAGAAGGAAATGTTCATTTCCTCAGCTAGCTGTTTGGCTTCCTCTTCAGTCTTCCCCCATAGAGCTTCAATGGAGAAGCCTTCTGCTCTCAGCAGAGGCACCAGCACACGGGCCGAGCTCCCGGTCCCAAATACGCCGACACCGGGAAGCATTTTCATTTTGTGTTCCTTTCACGCTCCAGTCCCTCAGGGCAAAGTGCTCTTCAGCATCTTGGTTCATCCATCGTGTCTACAAGAGAAGGGAGGGGAAAATGGACCATTCACAAAACGCATGATGGATTTGCTTTGTTGTTGTTAGTTGCAAAGTTGTGTCCGATCCATCGTGACCCCATGGACAGGCCTTCCTGTCCCCTACCATCCCCCGGAGACCAGTGGTGGAATTCAATTTTTTTTTTTACTACCGGTTCTGTGGCTTGGTGGGCGGGGCAGGGAAAGGATACCGCAAAATCCCCATTCGGGGAGGGGGCGGAAGGATATTGCAAAATCTCCATTCCCTCCCCACTCCTGGGGAAAGGATATTGCAAAATCTCCATTCCCACCCTACTCTGGGGCCAGCAGAGATGGTATTTTCCAGTTCTCCGAACTACTCAAAATTTCCGCTACTGGTTCGCCAGAACCTGTTAGAATTTGCTGAATTTCACTCCTGCCGGAGACCATTTAAGCTCCCGCCAATGGCTTCAATAACTCCATCCAGCCACCTCGTTCTCTGTCGTCCCCTTCTTCTTTTGCCCTCAATCTTTCCCAATATTAGGCTCTTCTCCAGTAGTCCTTCCTTCTCATTAGGTGGCCAAAGTCTTTGATTGGCTAGTTTCCTATTTAACCTAAAGGTAGTTATCCAACATCCAATTTTGATGAAGCTTCTCAATTTGATCCTCTTTCTATATACATTTAAATATTAATCCTGCTCATGTGCAATACAGATAGCCCTAAACTTTTGATCACAATTGAGCCAAGTGAGAAATTTGTTCAGTGAGTTTTGCCCCATTTTACGACATTTCTTGCCACGTTTGTTAAGTGAATCACTGCGGTTCTTAAATTAGTAACGCGGCTGTTAAGTGAATCTGGTTTCCCTATTGACTTTGCTTGTGAGATGGTCGCAAAAGGGGATCACATGACCCCAGGACACTGAAACCATCATAAATGTCAGTTGCCAAGCACCCAAATGTAAATCACGTAGGGATGCTGCAACAGCCGTAAGTGTGAAAAAGGGTGATGTCACTTTTTTTTCCAGTGCTATTGCAACTTCAACCGGTCACTAAATGAACTGTTGTAAGCCAAGGACTACCTGTAGGCACTGCAAACGTTTCCTTTCATGATTCACATATGCACTGGGTATTATGTGAGTGAGATAATTAGCACAGAGGCTAATAATCCTGCCTGCATAGATCTGTCCCATTTCAGTTTCTCACCCTCTCTTTTTGGACCCACAGACAACCCAAGAAGGGTGGAGCTGAGTCTCAGCACTGCATTAATCACATCTCAAGCCAACCTGCCAAAGGCCTTTGTCCAGCAGAGCTTCATGTAGCCACGAACAAAACGGGGAACGTGGAAGGACCCATGCATCGGCTAATGATGACCATGGGGCTAAAAACGGACCCCTTCCACAAAACACACTGCTTTTTAAACTCTGTTCTCTCAAACAAGAGCCAAGCCACTGCCCCTTACCCTAACTACTCCATGGTCCAACCTAGAGAGAGACTGGCCCAGAATTCCAGAGCCAAGAAGGTAACAAAGAGGAGCAGAAAGCCACTTGCTCCCGGGAGGGAATCCATCTGGTTTCTATCCCCACGACACCCAAAACAATTAGAAAGCTTTTGGGAATTAGAAGCCTGGCTGGAAAAAGTCAAGATCTTTATTTCAGACTGAAATTCAGACCGTTTCAAGACTGAACTGGTCAGGCACAAAGCCTTAGAGCTGCCCTGTGCTTTAAAACAGGATCTGGATCATTCAGACAGGTGCCTTGGACAGCAATCCCTGCAAAACCGGGTGGGTGGGTGGGTGAATCTTTAGGACCCCTGTCACACATTGGGGTGCTTTGCATTAAGGGCACCCTAAGAATAGAATAAAGTAGAGTAGAGTAGAGTAGAGTAGAGTAGGGTAGGGTAGGGTAGGGTAGGGTAGGGTAGGGTAGGGTAGGGTGAATAGAATAGAATAGAATAGAATAGAAAGTTTATTGGCCAAGTGGGATTGGACACACATGGGATTTGTCTTGGTGCATACGCTCTCAGTGTACATAAAAGAAAAGATTCGTTCATCAAGAATCATAAAGTACAACACTTAATGATAGTCATAGGGTACAAATAAGCAATCAGGAAACATATCAATATAAATCGTAAGGATAAAAGCAACAAGTTACAGTCATACAGTCATAAGTGGAAGGAGATGGGTGGTGGGAACGATGAGAAGATTAATAGTAGTGCAGACTTAATAGAATAGAATAGAATAGAATAGAGTAGGGTAGGGTAGGGTAGAATAGAATTAGAGTAGGATAGGTTAGGGTAGGGTAGGGTAGAGTAGAGTAGAAGACAGAAAAGAGTAGAGTAGAGGGTAGGGTAGGGTAGGGTAGAATAGAAGTACAGTAGAGTAGAGTAGAGTAGAGTAGAATAAAATAGAATTGAAATGAAATGAAATAAAATAGAGGCTAGAAATGGAATAGAATAGAATAGAATAGAATAGAATAGACTGTTAATCTGTTAATAAGAATAGAGTAGAATAGAATAGAAAACAATAGAATAGAAAACAGAAGAATAGAATAGAATAGACTCTGTTAATCTGTTAATAAGAATAGAATAGAATAGAATAGAATAGAATAGAATAGAGTAGAGTAGGGTAGGGTAGGGTAGGGTAGGGTAGGGTAGGGTAGAGAAGACAGAAAAGAGTAGAGTAGAGTAGAGTGGGTAGGGTAGGGTAGGGTAAGGTAGGGTAGGGTAGGGTAGGGTAGGGTAGGGTAGAAGACAGAAAAGAGTAGAGTAGAGTAGAGTAGGGTAGGGTAGGGTGGGTAAGGTAGGGTAAGGTAGGGTAGGGTAGGGTAGGGTAGAAGACAGAAAAGAGTAGGGTAGGGTAGGGTAGGGTAGGGTAGGGTAGGGTAGAAGACAGAAAAGAGTAGAGTAGGGTAGGGTAGGGTAGGGTAGGGTAGAAGACAGAAAAAAGAGTAGGGTAAGGTAGGGTAGGGTAGGGTAGGGTAGAAGACAGAAAAGAGTAGGGTAGGGTAGGGTAGGGTAGGGTAGGGTAGGGTAGAAGACAGAAAAGAGTAGAGTAGAGTAGAGTAGAGTAGAGTAGAGTAGAGTAGAGTAGAGTAGAGTAGAGTAGAGTAGAGTAGAATAGAATAGAATAGAATAGAATAGAATAGAATAGAATAGAATAGAATAGAATAGAATAGAATAGAATAGAACAGAACAGAACAGAACAGAACAGAACAGAACAGAATTCTTTCTTGGCCAAGTGTGATGGGACACACAAGGAAGAAGCCCATGCACGTGTTGGCTCAGAGAGAGGCAGCTCCTTCTTCGGTGCCCGATGGATCCCTGATCCAATATAACTCGCAGCATCCACCCACAGACACGCCTGTGTTAAACCCCCTGGGTTATACACGTGCTCACCCGCCCACGTATGGCCCAAGACACGTGTAGGCACAAAAGTCGAGAGAGAGGGAAACATCTGTAGGCACCCACCCAGCCCACCCTTGGCCATACGGAGACTACAGAGGGAGGTGGGACATAAGACACGAACACGCATACAGAACACGCACCCACGCGGGCACGCACATTCACACGGCCACCTGCCGAGAGAACCCTCCCCCTCCCCTCCCCGTTTTCCCCAGACCCACCTCGCCTCCGTCGGAGCCCCTTCCTCCCCTTCTCCGACGCGCGGCTCAGCCGGGGACCGAGAAGAAGCAGCAGCCAAGAAGGGCCGCGACGCCACAGCCTGCTTGGCGTCTGGCGCGCTCCCGACGGCGGCGGCGCGCACGCCTCCCGTCTCGCCAGCGGCGCGCTCTGCCGGCCACCCGGGAGGGAGGGACCGCTCTGCGCATGCGCCGACGCAGAACAAAGGCGGCGGTTGGAGCTGCCTCTTATTCTCCCTAGTTTTGGAATTGCTGAAAGCGGAGAAATCCACTGTTTCTAATATGCTTCGAGATTCCTTTCGTTTTTTTTCCCCACTCCCCATTATAGAAAGTGCTGGTCTGATTTACGTTGCCCACCCTAACTTGATATCTCCTTATAAACTTCGGTTTAAATAGTGCAGGAGGCAACATTGGTTGCTTTATAACTGACAGCGGCCAGCAGGGGGCGATATCGGCCACCCTACACCAGAGGTCTTCAAACTTGGCCTCTTTTAAGACTTGTGGACTTCAACTGAATTGAACTCAACTGAATTGAACTCAACTGAATTGAATTGAACTCAACTGAATTGAACTCAATTGAATTGAATTGAACTCAACTGAATTGAACTCAACTGAATTGAATTGAACTCAACTGAATTGAACTCAACTGAATTGAACTCAATTGAATTGAATTGAACTCAACTGAATTGAACTCAACTGAATTGAATTGAACTCAACTGAATTGAATTGAACTCAACTGAATTGAACTCAACTGAATTGAAGTCCACAAGTCTTAAAGCGGTCAAGTTTGAGGACCCCTGCCCCTACACCCACCTTGTGTTATTTATTTATTTATTTATTTATTTATTTATTTATTTATTTATTTATTTATTATATTTCTATACCGCCTTTCTCCTGTAGGACTCAAGGCGGTGTACAGCCAAGAAAAATATAGACACACAAACATCATAAAATTGCTAATTAAAATTATTACTTAGTTTGGCCAATTAAATAAAACCCAGAATTAGATAACATTTTTTAAAAAAATCATTCACATGTTCATATGTTTAGCCCCGCTAAACATGTTGGAACATCAGGGTCTTGAGGGCACGGCGGAAAACACGGAGATCAGGGATATTCCGTTATCTCCGGGGGCAGTTCATTCCAAAGGGTTGGAGCCCTCACAGAGAAGGCCCTCCCCCTGGGAGTTGCCAGTCGGCATAATTTGATTGACGGTACCCTGAGTAGTCCCTCCCTGTGAGAACGAACTGGTTTTATTTATTTATTTGATTTCTATCCACACCTGTCCAGATCGCTGCCCGCTCAAAGGCCAGCATTGTTGATAAGGAGGGTCAATCCACTTTCTCCAACACACTTCTGCACTTCTTTCACCACCGCCTGGATGCTCTCAAGTTTCTAGTGACATCTGAGGAAAAACAATATTAGTCCAATATAAAGCCAAGGGCTGTTTCAGAATTGCTCCAGAGGAGTTCTTGGAACTGTGTTTCTTTGGGTAGCTCTTGGTGTCCATTCATGCAAGTTGCTACCTTATCAAAGAGCAACTAGAGAGTCTGGATGTCAATACTGGCATTTTCAACTCAATTCACTAGCCAAAGGACCCTGAAGCTTGGTAGACAGGAATAGAATCCCCAAGGGATCTGGGTCAGGGTCACCGCTCAATCTGTAAGGGCCCAAAGATGAAGACCCCTGCGTCAATGAGGATTCCTGGTTAAGGTCAGGATCCCCAGGTCAGTAGTCAGGATCTCTAAGACAAAGTCAACATCTAGAAATCCTGGGTCGAGATAGGATCTCGGTTCAGTCACAGGCAGTTTGAAGAGGGAAACTTGGAAGATTCAGACTTAACACGAGAGTCCACATCAAGTCAAACGACAGCAAGTGAAAACACATGAATGGGTTAAGAATAGCATTAGGAAAACTATGCTGGCTGGAGAATTCTGGGAGCTGAAGTCCACAAGTCTTAAAGCTGTCAAGTTTGAGGACCCCCTCCCCTACACCCACCTTGTGTTACTTGATTTCTACCCATGCCTTCAAAATACTTCACAGGGCTGCTGTTGTGAGAATGATGTCCTTCTTAGCTTTGGATTGAGCTGTAAAGGTTTTTATTTAGCCACATTTGCTTAATGATCAAGTTGCCAATTTCAGTTGCGGTTTGCTAAACAAAAGACTACCTGTAATTTGGGTTTAAACAAAGCATTAATACTGGCTGGCTGCCAAAAAATGAAAAGACGACCTCTGTTCCCCTCTGTTTTTGTTTAACATGTGGTATCTGCTATGCAAATCCAACCTAGGAAAAGCAAATATGTTTATCAGAAAATTGTACCTGCAAAAGGAAAACCCTGAAATAAAACATATTTTGGCAGAAGCAATTGCCCTAAGGCCCAATAATTTTCAAGATCACCATATGTAGAGCCGAGCCTCTGCAGGAAATGTTCTATGCATTAATTTTTTTCTGTTATGTTCCCCATAATCTTATTCATTTGCAAGGCATGTATTTTTAAATACTTTACAGGGCTGTTGTTGTGAGAATGAGTTCCTTCTTAGTTTTGGATTGAGCTGTAAAGCTTCTTAAAAGGAGAGAAAGGGCAGGTATATTGAAAGCACTGTAAATGGTTTTTTGTGTTTTTTTTTTAGCACTGAAGGGACTGAATTTCATTACTCCCATTATGGAAAATCATCGAAAGAGAGTTGTTTTTTTTCAGAGATCAGGAAATTTTATGTTGGCTTTACATTATTCCTATCAAAAACCAGAAGGGTGTGTGGAAAAGTATCATGGTGAGCCTCAAAAACCACCGGACTTCACATCTGCTTCATGCTTGGCAAGAAAGAACAGAGTTTTTGTCAACTACCATTGCAGGAGACAGGTGGAGTTTTATGCCCTCACCTCCTTGAATTTTGCAAATTAACATCCTATCGTTCAAAGGTAACTGTGAAAAATAGTTGTAAGTCACTTTTTTTTCAGTGCACTTGGAACTTGGAATGGTCACTAAATGAACTGTTGTAAGATGAGGACTACCTGTATGCTTCTGCATGGAGAAAACGTAAGTTCTATCTCTAAAGAAGGATAATGCACAAGATTGTAGCAAGCAACCTTTCCCAGTAAAGGTTACAATATTTGCATAAATTTGCAAAACCTTGACTTCTGTTTCAATCTTGATTAGCATATGGCTCTTAATATGCAAATAAAGCAGCAATATCTGCAGAGACCCATTTCCATGTATCAGGCGAATGCTGAAAATATTGCCCTTGGGCAGGGCAAACCTCTCATATTTTTGGTTGAGGGTTATAACCCTTTCTGCCTAAATGGACTAATCCATCAGGTTAAAAGAGAGCAAACTGACTCTCAGCATGAATTCAGATTGATTGGCAACATCACTGTGAATGGGATGAAGAAGGATAATTTAGCAAATCTCATTCTGTCCAGGGTTTTTTTTTTCCAGACATACACACCACTCGCATTTAGGAACAGTGTGATGATGGTGATTGCCAAATTCTGAGTCAAAATAGCATTTTTGGTCCATTTGCATGACACTAACAAGAAAGCTTGCAGAAATTTAGGGATTTTGGCCTCCATTTTCATCTGCATCTGGAGATGATTCAAAATACTGGATAGGACCGAATCTTACGGTTTGTGCTTTGAAAGATCTTTATGACTCTATCCTCCTGCTCTATTCAACGGAGAAGCTTCAGCTTTTTTGACAGTGGACACTGATAAGACCAGAATGAAAGAAAGAGGGAAAGAAATGTAAAAACAAAAAACAAAAAAACCCACATGTTTGTTTGTTGTAAATTGAGTGTGTTTGTATAAATTAAGGCCCCCGATCTGAATAGAAATGTTTCCTATTAGGACCGGTTTGCATTTGAAAGAATGGCAGATTCCTTTCCAATGTCACATGGAAAAAAGACAGCATACAACAAAGACAAAAAATTGATGCTCAGTGATTTATTGAGGATTTATCCCTTGTTAATATATTACAGCCGTGGCATTAGATGATTATTCACCAAGGAATTCGGCGGCCCAGCCAATCCACGAGGGTCCCGTTGTCCTCCTCAGAAAGCATGGACAGCACAGTCACGATGCCCTGTGTGCTCTCTTCCACAGATATATCCGCCTGTCACAAAGAAAGATCTCACAAACTGGAAAAGAATCACACTTTTGCATAGCCTGAGGTCTTTAACCAAGGTTATCAGAGAAATGATACAGTAATATGCATGATTATCACTCTATTTGCTTAACGGTTATGCAACTTTGCAGCTGCATATTGGATGAATTATTAAGACAGTAAACAAAATGCTAAACACTCAAATAACTAGAATACCACAGCTCATTGTTAGACCGTCCATATTTACGGGTGTGCATATATGAGTGAGTTGTCCTTTTTGTTAGGTTCAAACACTTACTTCTGCTTTAGATGTTTTCACCCGACCGGGATGGATGGCTACACACAGAATTCCATGAGCTGAATAGTCAAGTGACTGGCATTTGGTGAGCATATTTAGAGCAGTCTATCGGGGACAGAAAAGGATCAGCAGGGAATGCATTAAAGAGAGAATAGAAGAAAAATTATGATAAATCATAGATTTCAAAATATTAGACCCTAAGAGAAGTGGGAGCACCCCTGATCCTAATTTTCTTTAGGCAGCTTCTTTATGACTTGAGATAATAAGAACTGCAAAGAAGCAGAAATGAAATATTTAAGGTGGCAACAAAACCCACTTTTGGTTATTTCTCAGAAAATGGATAGGAGGATAAAAACATGCATACATTTCTGGCTAACAAAGAAACATAAACATTATTTCCTTTATTGCATTTTTTGGATCCAATCATTAATCCTCTTATAATTGACTTTCCACAGTGTAGAAAACTATAGGGGTAGATAAAGCATTTTCAATCTCTATCAAAGGTTTTAGCATGCTCCAACATATCTAAGAGGTTTATGTTTGGGATCATCTTTGCCTTTACTGTCTCTAACAGCAGTTTCATCCAGGTGAAAATATTTGTCATACTATTTTTACCAGCCTGTCCCAGAAACTGTACTAAATTTGTTTTGGGAAGTGTCTTTTGTTTCCCCAAGATTACAAATATTCTTATGATCATAATGCTTTATTTC